GTAATATATATATATATATATATATATATATATATATATATATGGAAAACATTTATATAAGGTTGAGGCTATAAAGAATCGAATTAAGGTGCACCTCAAAATCTTACTAGAAGAGGTTGTATGTGTTCGATGTATATATATATTCTGGCTGGATCCGGATTTAGTTGCCATAGACCTGGACCCGACCCAAATCTGACTCGTGTTCAGGGTTTTGAGCATGAACCCACCCACAGGGTCCAACCTGAACCTAGACCTATACTCGGATCGGGTCCTACTCATTGTGTCGTGGGTCAACCTGACTTGAATGCCACATCTAGATTCAGCCTCTCTAATTTACCCAATAATTAAAATAATAAGTAACAAGAAAAAATAGAGAAACCGCGAGAGGGAGTGGAAACATCATGTTGGGCATACCAAAAGAAAAAAAGAAGCATATTTTTCTTGAAAAGCAAGTTAAGCCTGTGCGTGAAAGAAAAATAATTTTTCGTTTCAAAACTCAAATGCTCTAACTGGGCAAGTCCTAGGTAAAAAAAAGTTAAAAAAAAATAAAAAAGATAAAAAAAAAAAAATTCTACTAAAACATGAAAAACATATAAAGAAAGATTAAAACAAAACACATTGAAATAAAGTTGAAAATTAATGAAATAAATGAATTTTAACTCATTTTATATTTTTTAATGGCTATTTTTTAATTTTTTTAAAAAAATGGGAAAATATAAAAGTAAGTATTAATGATCAAATTTTTTTTAATCTTTAAAATAAGATAAAAAATATTTAAAAATGTATTATAAATTAAATTTTTTATTTTTAAAAATTTTTATACATTTTATTTTTTTAAATACCTCTTCATCACCCTGACAGTTCAGCGGTTATATCAGAAAATTTTGCGAATAATGGAGGGAAACGACGGGAGAGCAGCGGAGAGCGGCCGTTATTGCCCAACAAAACAGAGCGTGACCGTGATGTACTAAAAGAGATTTTCATTCTTGTGCAAGAGAGTAAATTAATTAAGAGAGAGAAACCTCATTGGCCTTAAAAACAACACTATTGGGAAGTGAAACCATTGTTGACACAAATATTTACAAATTTACCATGAAAAAATAAGTACCATTAGAAAAACTACCGTGAAAATGGGCCAGGAAGCCCAGCGCAAGCAACCTTGCCCTAAAAAAGTAGGGTGTGGACTACAAACTAGGCTTGTGGGCTGGGTTAAGGGCAGTGTTGGCCCGGCCAGAGCTCTTTTTGTTCATTTGTCTTTAGCCTAGCTCGTCCCTATGATGACAAGAGGTGGCCCGGACTTTGGCTGGCCCTATTAACGGGTTCGGGCCAGACCTTAAGAGAAATCAAGGAAAGGAAAGAGAGAGGGGGTTACCAGGGGCAATGTAGCCGTAGGAGCCGGCCACCATGGAAACCGTCTCATTCTTCCTGAGCATCATCCGGGCCAGCCCGAAGTCAGCAACTCTGGGTTCCACATTGGCATCCAACAGTATATTATTGGACTTGACATCCCTGTGTATAACAGGGGGCCTGCAATCATGATGCAGATAACACAGCCCGTGCGCCACGCCCACCGCCACATTATACCGGCTCCCCCACTCCGCCAACACACTCCCCGCCTGCGCTCCATGCAACGCCTCCCCCAAACTCCCGTTGGGCATGTACTCATACACCAGCATTGTGCTCACATCGTTGTGCATGTACCCCAAGAGCCTCAATATATTCCTGTGCCTCAATTTCCCCATCAACTCTACCTCCCCCAACAGCGTCTCCCCCTCTGCGTCTTCTGGCTCCATGCGCCACAACTTCTTCACAGCCACGACGGCCCGCGCGTGCTGTGCTTCGGCCCTGTACACAATTCCGGTCGCTCCCATTCCGATCACGTTGGATTCCTTGATGCAGGCGAGGATCTCGGCGCTGGTGAAGTTCAGTCTCTGGAAAACAGTGAGCCGCCATGGCCACTCACCCCTGGACTCTAAGCCGCCGCCGCAACCTTGCTCCACGCACCGCCTGTGGGCCCACCTTGCTCCTAAACTGGCGAGGACGATAATGCAGAAGGCTGACATGCCCATGGCCCACCCCACTATGACATGCCTTAGGCGGCCTCGGCCATGCATCGTGCCAACCAATTGAGAGGCGGCGCATGGTGCTAGGACACCGCCGCACAGGCCGGGGTTCCCGGCAAGGTCATTAGGGTTGAGCGTGCGCAACATTCCGTCCGTTGGGACTGGGCCGGTGAGTCGGTTGTAGGACACGTTAAAGGCCTCGAGGGCAGCAGAGCTACCGAATTCCGGCGGAATGGCGCCGGACAGTGCATTGCCCGAGAGATCGAGGATTGCAAGATCAGCCATCATTGCGAGCTCCGGAGGGATCTCACCGGAGAGCTGGTTGCCCATGAGGTTGAGCTTCACTAGTTTTGCGCAGGTCCCGAGGCCAGCGGGGATGGTGCCTGACAGACTGTTGCTCGATAAGTCGAGAACCGAGAGCGCCGGACAATCCTGTAACTGTGTCGGGATTTGGCCGGTAAGGTTGTTTGCAGCGGCAAGAAAAGACTGTAGATTAGGGATGGCGAGGATGCTGGAGGGGAGAGAATACTGAAGGTGGTTACGCGAAAGGTCGATGAAAGAGAGGGAGGTTGAGGGGGCGAGGTCCGCCGGTATACCCCCTGTGAGGTTGTTTCCGGCTAGCTCAAGCCGCTGGAGCCTAGGCAATGTGCCCAAACCCGACGGAATTGGCCCGGAGAGATTGTTATTGTGGGCACGCATACGAATAAGAGAGGTACATTTTGCGATGGACTGGGGTATGAGCCCCGAGAAACCATTGTTGAACAAGATGAGCTTAGTGAGGTTACCTCCATTGCAGAGACCTGTCGGGATCTCGCCAGAAAACAAATTCGATGACACATCCAGCCATTGCAATGGCGAATGTTGGCCAAGATCTGATGGCAAAGGCCCGGTAAAGGAGTTGTTCCAGAGCTCCAGTACTTGGATTGCAGCAAGCTTTCCAATCTTTTCTGGCATTGAACCGCTGAGTTGATTACACATGAGATTCAACAATTGAAGCTTTTCGAGCTGAGATAACTCTTCTGGTAAGGTTCCATTGAGTGAATTCGCTGATAAATCAAGGTAAACAAGCGCCGTCAGGTTCCCGAATTCAACTGGTATCGGGCCCTCAAGGTGGTTCTGATACAGAAACATGGTGTTCAGCTTCTTGAGCTGCCCCAACTGCATAGGAATCAGCCCAATAAGGCTGCCAAATGATAAATCCAGATACTGAAGATTCACTAAATTGCCGAATTCTTGAGGAATTGAGCTCTCAAATGCATTGTATCCGATGATCATCGTCTCCAAATTCGATAGCTGCCCAAGCTCAACAGGGATCGGACCAGTTAGATTGTTTCCGGACAAGCCTAGAAACCTCAATTTCTTCAGGTTTCCGAAGGATTTTGGAATTTCTCCTTCGAAAAAACTTCCTCTGAGGTCGAGGTTCTCGAGCTTCGTGAGGTTTCCGAGCTCCTCAGGCAAGCGGCCAGTGAAATTATTTCCTGATGCATTGATGCTCAGTAAGCCAACAGCTGCGTCAAGGCCCGACGGAAACCTGCCGGAAAACAAATTCTGGCTGAGGTCGAGGTCTTGGAGGGAGGTGAGCTTCGAAAGAGAAGGAGGGAGAGGAGTAGTAAAGGCATTGCAGCAAATATTGAAGAAAGAGAGGTTTGGAACCCACTGGAGCTCATCAGATACTCGGCCGCTAAGGCTCATATTCGAAAGGTCGAGCCCAACGACTGAGCCGTCCGAACCACACCGCACCCCAGTCCACCGGCAATGGGTTCGATTTGGCGAGCCCCAGTCGGTTAGCTTGTGAAGTGGGTCGATCAAGTGGGCTTTAACGGCTAAGAGAACTTCTTCTTCTTGTCCAGAGGCCTCTGTGACGGCGAGGCAGAAGGCCACAAGGAGGAAGAAAAGAACAGGAGGTTGCATCCTTTTCCCTTTCCCTCTCTGTCAACTCTTTTCTCTCTCTCTCTCTCTCAGTTTTCCACCATTTTCTGTGATACGTTTAACAGACAGGGGAGGAGAGAGAAAGAGATTGAAGAGAGAGAAAGGGGAGGTGATAGGTTGCTTATATATCTGACTCTCAGCTCGTGAGTTCTTGGGGGATGCAACAGCTGTTATATCACATCAAATAATGAAGAGAATGATTATGAAAATCAACTCAGCATAAACCCAAATAGATCCAGTGAGGCAGACATGCACACTCAATCATTTACCCCTTTAGAGAGAGAAACAGTTTAGAGAGGGAAACAACATTAACAATTCGAAGAGAGAGAGCAAAAGAAAATTCAAGAGCGAGAACCGGAACCTCTGGAGAAGTGCATTAGTGTTGATAGATAGAGTAGCCAAATATTGATTTTTTTATTTTTTTATTTTGTACTATTACAAGTGTAACGAGATATTGTGATTTTTGAAAAGCAAAGAGTTATAACCCTATAAATCCCTCGTGATGTCTACGAATGAGTTATTAGTTTATCTTTCGTGAAGGTAGGTATCATTGTCAAATCACGTATATTTTTTTGTTGATTTTTTTTTTTTATCTATTTCCCTTTATTGTAAATTCTACATGGTATGACATAATATCATTCTTTTGAAAGTAACCCTTTTGGGTGCTATAAAAAGGGATCCTCAAGATTGAGATAGATCTCCAAGAGAGATGGCTTTCCAGAGAGGTAGTATTCCTATCGAGTTTTGGATTGATTTGTTTCCACTTTTAGAGATAGAATTTCATAGTTACTCTCGAAATTATTTTTCCGATATTAACCAAATAAATTGTGTATATTGTGGTGTAATTTTTATATTTATTTTATTTTTTGTACTTAATAATTTATAATTGTATTTATCTACTTTATATTTAATCTACTTCACATTTAATCAATGATGTACACATCTTAAGTGAGATCTTAATTGATGGGATTCTCTATTTTACAAACTAAGTTCCACAAAACAAAACTGAGGTTAGAGAGAGAAAATGAGAAGTGGGCTAGAGAAAGAAGGGAGAAAAGCGAGCTTGGAATAGAATCTTTGCATGTTATGGGGGAGTGAGAGAAAAATATTAAGAGGCAACATAGGTGGAAGAGACATGCGGAGTCAGATCGTTCCATGAACCACGTAATCATGGAGGGCGAGCCCACCTAGAGCTGCACGCCTCCACATGCGCACATGGGTCCGAGCCTTTTAAAAAAATGCAGGCTTCCCTTCCATAAAAGGAGATGGGCTGCATGTGAATCTGGAAGTGGGGTGGTTTATGGTTAGTTTAGTTAGAGAGAGAGAAAAGGTCTCTCCCTCACATTTTAGAAAGAGTTTTAGAGAGAAAAGTCTGAGGCCTCGGTCTCCAGGTCCCATTCGAAAGGGTGGAGAGAGATTTTTTGTGAGAAAAAAGGTCCAAGGCCTCGGTCACCGGCTCTCATTTTAGAGAGAGAAAGGGGAGGGAGTTTTAGAGAGAGAAAGGTCCGAGGCATCTCAAACAAACTCTAATAATTGGGATGGCCCACGGTTGGTGCACTGAGGGACCTTTGGCCTTTGGGGCCGAGGGGTGGGCCCAGAATTGATACGTGATGCCACATGGTTTTATATGGCGCAAGCAATGAAAATATTTGGACGGCCCCACCACTCTCATGGATGGGTCCCGTGCTGTTTTCCACTTGCAATATTTTTATATCTAGAGTACAAACTCAACGCCAAAATAAAAGTGGATACAGACGAGAGAGAAAAGTTCATGCTAGAAAACCGGAAAACGAGAGATTAATCGGTTTATAAATAGAGATGAGAGACGAATAACGTCCACCCACTTAAGTCCAAAAAAAAAGAAAAAAAAAAAGTGGGTATGATTCCTCGGTAGATGTACTATACATTTACTCCCTCGGACAAATACTTAAGGTTTTTCAATTTTTGGTCGGAATTTTAACATCCATCTAATTATGAATAGATGATTATTTCCCAAAATAATTGAATTTTGAGTTCTTGAAAATCTAAATCATTGTCTCTAAAAATTAGATGGTTCGAGGGTTAAATTATTGTCTCTAAAAATTGGATGGTTCTTGCCAAAACCCCAACCCTAACGCCAACAACCCCCTTTGCGGTTTTTTTTTTTTGGGTAATTTACTGAAGAAACAAACCTTACCTGTTGTCTCAAAAAATTGGATGGTTCCGGTGGAATTTGGATCATATTTTTTCTTTTAAGTACATAGAGTCATCCCCCTCCCTGCCCCAAACCCCAACCCCAACCCCAACAACCCCTTTTCAGTTTTTTTTGGGTAATTCAGTGGGCAAAACAAACCTTACTTGTTTTTTCAAGTAGATTAGGAGTTAGCTTTTTTTCTTAAGGTGTTAACAAGGTGGTGTTAGTGATAGGAATGAAAAATACAATGCGGTGACTAGATATTGGTTGCCCATCCCACACAACACATCCTCAAATTTTAGGATCTCAAAATGTTCCTACTGCAAGTTTTGCCTGAGGGAATAGATAGGCAGTGAACTCCTGCAGAAAATCTTTTGGGAACCAGAAAGGGTAGAGAGTGCCATGAAGTACAAAAAAAGGGAAAAGCGAAAAATTTAAAAAAGTAAAAATAGAGAGGGACTGGGCATTTTATAGTATAAACAAAGGTACAAGAGACCCAAAGCCACAAAAAGCACAAATAAAAAATGGAGTTAAGAGTGTGAACAATAGGGTTGTAAAGTCCCCCCATAAGCAATATAAGACTTTGTCCTTTTTTCTTGGTAATATCCATGTGCAAGTTGTTATTGATCTCATATGGGGTTTCTTCCCTTAAGTTTTGTGAGGGGGATATGATTCTTGGACATGTCTTCCTAGAGCTTGTCTTGCTTGGTCTGCCAGTTATATGCATAAGACAATAGTAGCCTAACCTTTATATGCATAAGACAATAGTAGCCTAACCTCTCTCAATCAATAATTAGGGAATTAATGAAAAAGATGTATGGATCTCACATGAGGAAGAAAACCTCTCCATGTGCATTATGGGAACATGTTGTGCCAATGCTATTCCATTAAGGGGTAACCCATAGATCTGATTCACAGGTGAAGGTTTCCATAACCTTGAGGTTTATTTGTTGGTTTAACAACCCATTTAGAGAAACCAAAGCCTTTTTTGTTACTCTTATTTAAGTTTGAACTTTGGAATCCCTTTTACTAGCGAGGCTCACGTGCTCCGCACGTGTTTTGAGTATAGGATTTAGATATTTTTGAATAATTTAAATGCCTAAAATTATCTGATGCATTTATATATACCGTATTAATTAGAAAGATGTTTATATAAGGGTAACACCCTAAACAATCAAATTAAGGGGCACCTCAAAAATTCACTAAAAGATGTCGTTTCAATGCCCAAAAATCCTCAAATCGATTATCTTAACCTCAAGATGTGTGGACATAAGTGGATTCCAAGTCTTGGAAATACTGCATCTTGTAATGTATTTTTCAAATCGTCAATTTTCAAAAAATTTAAGTGTTTATAGATCTGCTCGATCTATACCATTTTTTGAGCTTTAAATTTTATAATTAGAGATGAACATGATTTTTCAAACCATTACAAAGATTTTTAGTTCTTAAACAACATCTTGCAATAATATTTGAAGGTGCACCTTACTTTGATTGTTTAGAGCCTCAACCTTATCCAAATCACACCATAATAAATAAAAAAGTTTTAGCAATTCATGTTGTTAATTTAGAAATGTTACCTAATTTTAGTCCACGACATATTAACTTTGTGATTTGGCCTTTTTCACCCAAAAAGGCAAGTGCACTTTGAAAGACAAAATAGTAATGCATGCTCTTAAAACTTCACATTGTACACTTCACCTCATAGATACAACACTCATTTAGGAGATACTATAATCTAAATTTTCCTGTTGATTAGTAATATTGCTTATTTTTAAATTATACTAATTATATTTTAGTTTTTCAAAAATTTAATTTTTCCCATAAAATTTCAACTTTTAAAGCGATATTGTGAAACAGAGGCTCTTTGTAGAAAAAGATGAAACTAATAACTACCCAAAAAAAAAATGAATAGTAGGATATTTTATAAAGGGAAAGGCTTTTACGCTTCTCCTACAGCATAGAAGTTCTGTCCTTCCCCTATATCCAGCTGTCCAATTTTGATCAAGAGAGCCACTCACCGTTTGATTTTAGATCCGACGTCTTAAAATATTTTATTTTTAGTTTTTTTATACAAATTGTATGAATATGAAATTTAGTACATCCCATCTTCTCATTGGGGCACACCTATAAAAAATATTAAAAATAATTTTCCTATAAAATATAATGATCAAAATACCCCTTGAAATTTTCAGGTGTATTTTGGTCATTTTATTTTATTGAAAATATTTTTTTTTATATTTTCTCTAGTGCGAGATGTCCAAATTTTGGTGTCAAAATAATTTATAAATTTTTTTTTTTAAAAAAAATAGTGTAGAGATGTGACATTGTGATTGAGACAATCTTAGCCCTCCATTCAGAATGGACAGTTGGATAAGAGGGATGATAGAACTTCTACTATATGGAACCATAAAAAGCTTGCCCCTTTATAACACAAAATATAAAGTCTATAATCATTAGATATTCCTAAAAGTGAGTCCTAAAAAATAGCTTAGTTTGAATTATTCTAAGTGGTGGTAGATTAGTTCATGATTTATTTATTATTTTTGTCTTTTCTTCTTTAATGTAATAGAATATAAGATTACTTAATGTAGTATATAAATACCAAGGTTAGAAAAACTGGGCGATCTAACCGGTAATTGCCTGGTTAGATCAGAACAGGCTACTGGCCGGTTCCGGTTTCGACGGGTTTTGATGACAGGCCAGGTATTTTTTAAAAAAAATTCAAAAAAATTATATAAAAATCCAAAAAATAAGAATTTTTATTTGTAATATATTTTTTGATATTTTTTTAATATTTTTTTATTATTATAGAAAAGATTAGAAATTGTTTTGATTATGAATGCTTACTTTTATATTTTTTCATTTTTTTTAGAAAAATTTTAAAAATGCCCCTTGGCACAAATCTATTATTTAAAATCCATTTTTTTTTTATTAATTTAAAACTTAATTTGGATGTCTTTTGTATAATCATTATTTAAATATACTTTTCATATTTTATGAGATTTTATTTTATATTTTTTTTATATATTCAACACT